GTGTCACAGAACACCCACATGGTGTTCTTGCCAGAAATGTTTGACCTGAATATAATCATAAGAAAACAGACAAATCCCAAATTTGGGACATTCTTCGGACAACTGGCCTAGACTCTTGACAGGGTTCAGTGTTAATAAGGACCAATGACAAGGAGAGATTGTGAGACTAAGGGAATGATGGATAATAAAGTACTTGGGGTGGTATGCCATGAAGTATGCCTACTAGAACCTACTTTTCAGATGGCTTCGCAGAATAAGAGGGAATGAGGCTGTGTGTGTGTGTGTGTGTGTGTGTGTGTGTGTGTGTGTGTGTGTAGCATAGGTTGGCTGTTTCATGCTGTTCATTTCCTAGCATATCATTGAACACAGTGCTTTTGGTGGGCCAGTGCCTGATGCATTTTTAAACTATTACTTACTTTAAGGTATTTAACAGGATTCTCTGAAAATGCATCTAAGACCTGCATGTTGCTCTCTTTTCAGCATGCTTTGGCATAAGCTGGGCAATAGGCTATAAGGGCTCATGTTTTCTTGAGTGGCTTACACAAGTCTCTATAGACTGAGAGTCTCTCTTAAATGTTAGAAAGTATAAATGAACAGGAAAGGAAAAGCCAGCATGTAGCCATCCTCCTTGCTCTAGTTATTGCCTGAGAGGCCATGTGCCTGTTGGGGGATGGCACGTTGTGGGGAATGCTGAGTTCAATAAGGCACATTTCTGGACTGCTTAGTGGCCAGGACACCACAGAGGTATTCTCCTGAGTGATGAGGCCTAAGTCCAGGATGAAGGATGCTGGCAGCTTTGACCCCCACCAGCATGCTCCTAGCTGAGTGGGGAGGGCACAGAGAAGTTAACATTCTCTTACATTCTTGCAGGAAATCTTATGCTTTTATGGTGTGAGATGACTAAAGCCAATTTAGCAGCCACTTATAAAAGTAATTACAAGATGAGAGAAATATTCTGCTGATGCAGGCTGTGAAAACTAATGAGTGCAGCAAACATTCAGTGAACAACTGAGTATGTAGCAAGCATCATAAAGAATGAATCTAGGAAATACAAATGATAAAAAGATACCCTGGCCTTGGGTCGGGACTTAGAGCACGGGGGAAGGAGATATGGGGTACAGTGGAGATAGCTACTGAAATAACTGATTTTGCTGTATTACAAGGCTTGCTTGCATCGTGACAATGCAGAAAACATGCCACATGTGGAACTGCCTAAGGTTTCAGAGGTGAAGTTGAGCTTGGGGTGACTTGAAGGAGCGTGGCAGGTAAAGAAACTGAGGACATTTGGTTTCCATGCAGAGGACTGAATGGGTCTGGGTACTGGGAGATTACTGGCATCTGTTATGGCTTGAACCTTAATTAGCTGCAGAGTAGGAGTCTAATTTCCTTAGGAAGGGAAGAAGGAACTCTGGAAGTCCTTTGGCGTTGAAAAGTGACTCGGTGACTTGGTTTTAATAAGAAACCATGGATGGAATGCATAGGCTGGTTTGTGAAGATACATGGTCTGGGACAGAACCGGAAGCAATTGAGGTGACAGCAAAGAATCTGCAGCAGGGATAGAATAAAAATAGGGTGCTCTTGGGGAAATTTTTCCATCCTCTCCTACTAAGAGCTTTTACAGTTTTAGAAACTTTTAAAGGAAGCCTTTAAAAATACTTGGGAGAGAGAAGCTTACTCAAACATTTGAACAGTTCTGAACATTTATTACATTTCAGATAGAAAATAATCATTTCAGGCAAATGAACATGTGTGGATTGGTTACTCAGTACAGTCAGTTAATCAATCTTACAGAATTAGGGAGGAGGGAAGCTATTTAGTGGCCTTCAATCTCTGTCTAGAACTTTATCCAGGTTCCTAAGTAGTTGATGAATTTTTCTGATTTGTATCCACTATCCCCAAGGTTTAGTGTACATCTGTAATCTGTAAGGCTCAATTTGGCCATTCCCTTTTCCCATCTTCTGCCTTATACCTGAGAAAACACACTGTTAGTGTTTAAGTTCTTATTCTGTATTAGAAAGCTGCATACCATGCAATCTAAGGTGGATCCAGCTCAGAGTAATACGTTTGGAGTTTAAAGTAAAGAAGAGTGGAATCTTCATGTTTTCTTTACTTTGAGAAAAGCTCGGTGACTTGGGCTGATGTAGAATGTATATAAAATACTTATCTGTTAATTGAGTATCTGGGATAAATCACCACCTTTTTTCTTTAGATGTCATTAAAATATTTCTACCTACCACTTAGAGCTTTTCTTTTCTTTTTTTTTTTTTTTGGTACTGGGGATTGAATTTGGGACCTTGCGCTTGCAAGGGAGGCCACTGAACTGCTGAGCTAAATCCCCAGCCCACTTAGAGGTTTTCAATGGAGAATTTAAACTTAAAACACTTTGAACCTTGAAGAACAAAAAGTCCTATACAATTAACCTGTCTTTTGGATGAAGAAGTCCTAGGCTGATGAGGCTCCATGTATAAGTTCCAAAGGCTTATAATTATTTTTTCTTCCTTGAGGCCTGAATATTTCAGAAAGTTCTTGGCCCATCTCTTGCAGGATTGCTATATGAAGAGCAAGAAAGCAACTAACCTGTGGGCTGACTTCACTTTTAGGTGTATATTCTACTTTGGCTACAGTACAATGATTCTAATAGTGTATGGGACCAAAGGATAAGTAAGGTGATTTACTAAGGTCAGATTAGCATGTGGAGTCTTTAGTACTATAAGTTTTACCAGCAATTTAAATTACCTGTAGTCAGTTTACCTATAGTATACAGATATCCATTTCAGTGTGGTAGCTGTTTTCAGGTAGTTCCTTTAGAAATGGCTCACCAGTCAGAAGTGTTCCAGGGCCTTCTTGCCTCAAACAGAGAACTGGAGGAGATAAACCAAAAACAATGACAAATGTTTATTTGAAAAGTAAGGAGTGGCTGGGGGGTGGTGGTATACACCTGTTATCCCAGCACTTGGGAGGCTGAGGCAGGAGGATCTCCATGAGTTCGAGGCCAACCTGAACCATATAACAAGACCCTGTCTCAGCCGCCCCCCTGAAAAAGACAGAGAAAAGTGAGGGGTGAATGGGTGTGGGAGAAACCAGCTTTGTAGAGCAAATTAGGGCAGAACAAGAGAAAAAGAAGATAAAAGCAAAAATGAAAGTACAATCTGCACCTTGGAAAAGCAGCATGGGCTATCATAGAAGTTATGATAGCAGGTTTCCTGTGATGTCCAGACTTCTGAGTTCCCCAGATGTTTTATCTTTTTTTTCAGCTTTAATTGAGTTTATTGGTACATTTTAGGGATACAGTACAGTTACATTCATTGTTGGGAACTTGTACCTCTACATGACAAGTCTTGATTTTCATTTTTTCCCCTTACCCCGCCCTCCCTTCACCCCCTCTCCCCAGATGTTTTATATGCAGGGTGCTGTGTTGCCCTGGCATCTTGTGCTTATTTTCCCAGCCAGCTTTGCCACACTTTATCTCCTAAATCACTATGGTAGAGGAATAACTGAAGATTAATTTACTACTAAATTCATGCTTTATGAAATACAGTTGTTAAATTGTTTCTATCCCAAGGATTACAACTTCTTAGGACTTATTCTTAAAGAAAACTATCTTGGGGGCCGGGAATTTAGCTCAGTGGCACTGTGCCTGCCTCGCAAACTCAAGGTCCTGAGTTCAATCCCTGGTACAAAAAAGAAAAAAAAAGAAAAAACTATCTTGGTACTGAAACTACACTGATACTGTTGGCATTTTGTCCAACTTGCAGGATAGTCTATACCTTAAAAGGTGTAATTTATGCACTCATAAGGGATATATTCAAAAACTCGGTTGCATTTTATTTTTGAGTATCAGTTCATTCTGTTGATTGAGACTTTATTGTCTGTGCTTTTATGTGCCCATCTTCTAGGAAGTGTGTGGAAGTTTCCCCAGCCCTTGAAGAGAAGACATTGAGAGGCAGAGATAAATAGATAATTATAATGTATTAAGTGCTGAGATAGATGCTACAGCGTGAATATGGAGAAAGAACCCCCACGAGTCTGTCACCCAACCCCAGCAATTACTAACTGCTGGTGAAGCTCGTTCCACCTTTATGCCTACTTCTTCTCTCCCCTTTTGCAGCATGTTGAAACACATCCAAGACCAAGGGTCATATGATGGACATTTGTACACATTTCATGGAATGCTCTCAGAATCCACTGCTGAAGTACGCTATCCCCAGAAAGTGGGGAAGGAGCTAGAGAATGAAGTAATATCTGAGTTCCCGACTAGGCGAGGAAGGGATGTTTTAGTTCTAGGTGATGGCATAGGAACCAACGATTATTATAATGTCTTGAAGACATTTGTATGTGCAGTACTTCTTTGTTCCTCTGAAATGAGCACTAAAGATGTAATTTCCCTGATTAGGAAGTTATTTTGCTGAGAACTTTGTAAAGCCAATTCACTTTGAATTTCAGTAAATGAGGATAAGCCACAAGTAGTGGTAATGACTAATCGCTTCCCTTTTTACCTCAGTGACTTTCTAGACTTTGTATATTCAAGTCCACCCCCTGAAAAATCACTCTCCTTTGTAAGAAGAGTAACAGTCATCTTTGTCGCCTTTATTTTTTTTTCTTTGAAAGAGAAAGAATAATCAGCTCTGAACATCATGAGTGGGTAGAACTTAATGATTTTTTTTCCTCATTGAGTTTATTGGTACATTTTAGGTGTACAGTATAGTTACATTCATCATTGGGATCTTGTACCTTTACATGACAGGTCTTGGTTCTCATTTTTTCCCCTTATCCATGCCCTCCCTTCACCCACTCCACCCTTCCCTATTAGAACTTAATGATTTAAATGAAAAACTTTCCTGTAAACTGAAGGAAAAAGAAATGAAGCAGTGTGTACACAGGTTCCCAAGGGACGTTTTGGTTAGCTTTACTGTGAAGTGCTTGATGTTTCATCATATACCTTGTTTCATTTTCCTGTTGTGAAATGGGGGTTTCAGCATTGTTTTTTTGTCTGATTCCAGATCACAGAATTGTGTGGTGCAAAGCGGATTGGTTATTTTGGCCTGACACAGTTTTACGTTGCCCTGAGATTAATTGCTGCGGCACAGTCTGGCCTCCCTGTACGGATAGAGAGTATTAAATGTGGTGAGTACTTTACATTTATACATTGCTCACAACCAGTGTCTTGTTTATACGAGTTGTTTTCAATGGATTTAAGGGCTGGTCTTTAAGCTTTTGCGTCACCTCCAACTCCTCTGTAAAATAAAAACGAAACTTTAGCAGGTAGCTTAGTTTGTTTCTTCCTGATATGGAGAAAAAAATTCAGAGAGTGACGAGATTAGTTCCTTTTAGCTGACTTATAGTTAAGATGGATTTTGTTTAGTAGAGTGAAATTGAGGAAGGAATTCTAGAGCCTGTGGCAAAATAATAACATCCAGTTTAATTTTCCACTTGAGGTCCCTACTAGATTAGTTGTGGAGTCACAGGAGATGGAGCGGAACTGTCCCTTTTCTCTCTCCGACATTCCTGCCAGTCATATCAGATATGCTCATCCTTTAATTCCCAATTCTGGAAGCACAATTCCAATGCCTATTACATACTCTAGGGTTACCAACATGTTGGCAGAATGAATTTATATTCTCAGAGTTCTGATAGAACACTTTATCATCTTGCCATCCCTGTCCCCAGCACACTGTATGCTTGTGTGGTTTCTACAACTTGAACAGAGTATGAGGCTCTTAAATATTAGCATTATTTGTACTGCCTCAGTAGGAATTTAAAAAAAAATCTATGTGAATTGGGCATGGTGGCACTGTAATTCCAGCACTTTATGAGGCTGAGGCAGGAGAATCTCAAATACAAGCCCAGACTTACTTGGCAATTTAGGGATTTAGAGAGATTCTGTCTGAAAAATAAAAAAAAGTAAAAAGGGCTGGGGTCATAGCAAAGGGCCTGTGTTCAATCTCCAGTACCCCCCATGCATATACACATACACAAATATATATGAAGCTTGTTATTCAATGCGCTGAGGTCCTCTATGCAGATACCTTTTTCTTTTCCTCATTTGGAGGTAGAAATTACGCAGCTCTTTACTCCAGTCCCGTGAAGACTCTAGTAGTCATCTACACAGGTTCAGAATTTATGGTTAGTCCATAGAGATCCTGTGGAGCAATCCAAATATCCAAGAAGGTTGTCCGAGTTGGCTTTTATTGAGGGCCTGGAGTCGCCATGCATTGCCTCGTTTAACACCCCACCACCCCAGTCAGGTGCAGCGCTTGTTAAGTTTGCATTGTCTAGGAAGAGCTGCAGTAATGCAGGCCACAGAGTCTGAGTGCCGTAAATAGACAGAAGCTCACGTTGCACTTTGCAGTGTGCCGGGGTGACCCTCCAGGGCAGCTGCCCTCCATGTGGTGGCTCTGTGGTCCTGACCGCTTTCCTTTATGGCACCTCCAATACAGCGCCTGTTCCCACAATTGCCAAGACAGGCAAAGTTCCTCACTCTGGCATTTGGGTTCTGTGCCCTGGGTGTGACTCATGTTACTGCTTCTCCTGGTGCATTGGTAAGAGCTTGCCACAGGGTCTGCCTCACTAGAAAGCAGCCTGTGGGAGCACAGTTTGCTCACATGCCTACAAGGAGAGAGGAACTGGTTGTGGCCTAGCACTACAAGTCCCTCCGGGGCGCTGCTGTGGCCCCTCTCTGACTGATGTGGTCACTGAAGTTCAGGGAGGTTGAGTAACTTGCCTAAGGATACAGGGTTAGCAGAGCTTGGAACCAGTCCACATCTTCATTGCTGCGCAGAATGGCTTCGTTTCCTTTCCTCTTAGCAAGGTGCTGACTTTAACCTGTACTCATGGAATATTTTCCAAATGGCAAGAAATTAGACACAAAAGGCATCTCTTAATGGAATTTAATTCTTTTTTTTCCAGCTTTGAGTTTATTGGTACATTTTAGAGATACAGTACAGTTACATTCATTGTTGGGATCTTGTACCTTTACACGATAGGTCTTGGTTCTCATTTTTTCCTCTTGTCCCTGCTCTCCCTTCACCCCCTCCTCCCCTCCCCATCTACAAGCACTTTATTTCCGTCTTTTCTTTATCTCACATTTTTTTTCTTTTCCCTTATTACCCTTCCCCTATCCATCCCACCTTCCCTACACCTTCAGCCCCTTTCTTCCCATTTCACAATGTCAGTAATCTTATTAGGATCTTATGTATTATTGTAGTTTATTCACACCAGAGAAACTATTTGGTATTTACACATGTGTGACTTATTTATTTCAATTAGAAGTATATCTTCAATATGTATCCATTTTCTATGAATGAATCTATTTTCTCGTTCTTTGTGGCTGAGTAATATTCCATTTTATAGAAAAACCACATCTTCTTTATCCAGTTTCCAACTGATGGGAAAATGGGCTGTTTCCATGTTTTAGCTATTACAAACTGTGCCGCTATAAACATGGGTGCACATAGATTACTGTGATTTGATTCTTTTAGTTCTTTTGGAAAGATACCCAGCAGAGGGATGGCTGGGGCAAATGGAACCTCTAGTCCTAGCTCTTTGAGGTATCTCCATATTGATTTCCACAGTGGTTGCACCAGTCTGAATTCCCACCAACAATGGAGAAGGGTTTCTTTCTCCCCACAACCCTGCCAACATTTGTTATTGTGTGATTTCTTGATAGCAGCCATTCTTTGTGGGGTGAGGTAGAATCTCAGTGTTGTTTTCATCTGCATCTCTCGAATGACCAGTGATGTGGAGCACTTTTTCATATATTTACTTGCTGCTTTTACTTCTTTGAGAAATGTCTGTTCATTTCGGATGCCCATTTTTGAATCAGGTCTTTATATTTGGAGGGGCTGATTGTTTTGAGTTCTTTATACATTCTAGATAATAGTCCTTTGTCTGAGGAGCTGGTAAAAATTTTTTCCCCCATTGTAGGTTGTCCCTTAGTTCTGCTGATGGTTTCTTTTGCAGTGCAGAAGCTTTTTAATAAGATGAGATCCCAGTTGTTGATTCTTTCTGCTAGTTCCTGTGCTACTGAGGATTTGTTCATAAAGTCTTTTCCTATGCCAATGTCTTCCAGAGTTCTGCCTAACTTATCTTCCAGCAAGTTTAATGTTTCTGTTTTAATGTTTAGAT